TTTGCTCTTCGTCAATGAATCGCATGGTATCGTGCTTTACAGCGTCAAGGCATTGCCTCCTTCCCTTCACCGAGTCAAAATTGCACATCTGTACCTCAAATAGTTTCGTTTTTAGAGCCAAAAAACTGAACGTTCCTCAATCCTACTAAAATATGGCCTTCCAGCGGGGCAATCCTATCGGCTACACGCTATAGCATGGGCTGGCCTATCCTCAATTTACCCCGTGCAGGTCTTCCTCAAACTACCCCGTTCTGCATTGTTTCATTCAAATAATCCCTAAAAAATTACGGGGCGTTGTATCATACCGTCCGGCACGGCAAAATAAGGAGGAAGCATGTCTTCTCTTACACAAAAGGCCCCATCGTATCAGGGGCGCTCCGTAATATCGAAATTACATAATATATAAGGTGAAAAAACTCCCGTTTTGGCTGCCAACTTGTCTATTTTGACATTCGTAGTTTAAAAAAACGCACTAGTTTACTCGCAGCTTTTACGTATGAACGTTTTTGAATGAAAGTACATTAGGACAATTTAGTACTCAACCTACGGCGGTGTCAGTGCCCGCAATCAAAATTTGTAGGCAGTTCCTCAAACTGCCCCGTTCCTCAATCTGCCCCACTCTCCCCTAGACCCCTCAAAAGGAATAAGCCCCCCCCCCCTTTTCCACATACACAGAAAAAAACACGTACTTTTGTTTCAGTTGACCGTGAAGGTGTTCATGGGTAAGCCTATGCAGTCCATGAAACTAAACTATACCAGCACTCAAACCACTCGTGCTTTGGTCGCCAACGAAGAGGAAGTGCGTGTAGAGCTGTATGCTTACTCGCCCTGTGGCGGTACCTTCACCTTCACTGGGGCATATACAGTGGGTGAGTACCTTTCGCAAAACGTCTAGAGGACGTCCCCTGCTACCTCCGTGAAGTTGCCAATCCTGATGAGCCGATGGACAGTCTACAGTGTCTATTGTATCCATCAGCCTGTCCACGAACCAGTCCATGACCCGTCACCTGCCCGTGGTTCAGTCTGCATTCACGCAATGTATGGAGGGCAGAGTTTTTACGCTAATTAGCGCGTTAGCGGTGCTAACGGCGCTAACGTGATTGTTGTTAGCGTTAGCGTTATCGCGCTCATTTTCTGTGGGTTAGCGTTAGCGGGTAGCGCCGCTAACACGGTCCATTAGCGCATTAGCGGCGCTAACGCTAACGGGAAACTACAAAAATCCGGCCAAATCACTAAAACTTTTACCAAACAAACGCGAAATCGAAGTCATAAGTCATCACAGTTGATGCAATTCACCAATTTTGGTTTCGATTTTTTTACGAGTCAGTTTTACTAATCATAATCAAAACGGTGTAAATAAATGTTTTGGTTTCAATTCTGTTGTCTCTAATGATTTTGCCCCTTTCATGAAAATAAAAGGTTTAAAGGCTAAATAACGATAAAAACCAACTATTACACGTATACCGATTATTCTTCAATAAAACGACAAAAACGCGTCAGCGTTAGCAGCGCTAAGTATTTTTGTTAGCGTTAGCACGCTAACGTTTTTCGCTAGCGATAACAAACCTGATGGAGGGCACACATCCCGCTGCCACATACGATCCTCATGGTACTTGTATGTAAGGGAGAGTGGGGCACCAGTTGTCAGGTGCACATTGCACATATACTGTCAATGAGCTGGCAAGAGCAGCCCATTCACTTTTTCAGTCATCTAATTTGTGAAATCGCAACCTCTTTTCGTCTTTATTTGTTTTCAAAATGGGAGTGGCGAAACTTTCAGTGGTATAGAAGCATCGTACATACAAATATTTATTGACAGTTATTTCCCCCAAATTGGGGCAGGTACTGTCACTATGTTTTATGATCCTGCTGTCGGGGCACATACTGTAAATTGCCGTTGTTTCTTCTTGAGATGATTTGAGAGAAGACACGAGTATTTTTTGTGCATTTCCTAATGATTTCGTGTGACTGAAGGAAGGTCAAATAGAGGCACACCAACCCTAAAATCCGTAATGCTGCCTAGACTAGGACTGCGAGAGAAGACTTTCCAAAAAGTGACACTATGTGCCCCACTCTCCTATACACAAATAGATCATATGTGGAACGTGTATGTATTACACGGGACGGGTTTCACGGGACTTTTTCGACGAAAATGCGCCGAAAATGACCACGATGTACGTAAATGTACATAAGAGAAGGTCATGTTGTGGGTGGGGTGGGCTGGCATGGGTGACCGGTTCTTGTTTGTGCGGGCTTGCCACCAAGCAGTACGCGCAACAAAAATGTCCAAAATGTGAACCAAAATTTAGTAGGGCCTAAGTGCGCTGTGGCGGACGTCCGTCACTCTGTAGGGCAAATGGCATGTCACCTGAAGTTCGGCGACACACCGTTAGAAAGCGCACATCCTAGAGAACACTTGTGGTGAATATCGCTCACCTGGCTCGGCGCCTCGCCGCCTGAGCACCACCCGAGTGCCGCCACGCATTTGAACCCCCCACCGGGCCGAAATCTTTAAACGCGAGGTGCGAGCACTTCCCGACATTGCAGGATGTTCTCGTTTGCACCGAAAGTTGTCTATTTTTATGCTCTTTCAAATTTCACACCGTTCCAGAAAAAAATTGTGGCCTAGGCTAACTAACACTAACATTGTTTTCTAATTTAATAACAAAAATGTTATAAAAAGTTATGACATTTTTTATGTTATGAAATCTCATAACATATGTTGTGAAAAGTAATAACATATGTTGTGAAAAGTAATAACATGAGATTGTGAAATTTTCGAATCGTTCAAACAAGTTCCGGGGATTTTATTGCATATAAACTTTAATTGTAAGTAACACTGTCAAATAAGACAGTTGACAATTAATAAGAATTCCTGTGCCTGCATGATGCTTCGTTTCTTACGAAATGACAGGCACAACTCGAGGGTACCGGGGGTGACGGGTCAGCACCCTAGGTGAGAGGCCGTTGTATATAACCAGCGCGAGCTAAATGTTAGTAAGCGACAACGCCATACGATGTGTTGAACGTTAACGTTAAAGATGCAGACGATGTGAGGATAACCGTCCTAACTCAGAAAAAGTCAAAATCTGTTCACATTCCGATAACGTTAGAGAATATAGACATTTATTTGTACTCAATCACGATGTAGAAAGGTCTTCCTACATCGTGTACAGTCAGGGATCCTAACTTCGGACTAGCGCCCTAATGTCGGACACTTCGCTGTTTTATACTAATAAAGTCCCTAAATCGAAAACGGGTATCCGGAATATAGCTTCCGAGGGTTCGCTGGAAAGGTTAGACCTTCTAGAATCTAGATTTGAAGAAATATTTCCGATATCTAGCATACTGTTCTCCCAAAAAAATGCCAAACTTGCACTACGAAAACGGACAATTTTTATACTGCTTTGCCAAAATGTGGGGCTCTCAACGGCGGGTGATCGCACTTTTTGCAGGTTAACATATGTGAAACTAGGACTCTTCACCTACAAGATGACACAAGAAAAAAAATTCCATGTCAATTGTGTCAAGCTTGAGAAGCGATTTCTGAAAGTCCCCGAAATACGGACATAGGCTTTTACATGCAAAAGTGACTGTTGGCCAGATTAGAAGCACTTTAAAAGCGATCTTTAAGCAGTTCTGGCAGCTAAACAATACGAGATAAGAAAATTTCGACGGTAGGGTGAGGTCATATTTTTTTATGAAGTTTTTTTTCCACCCAACAATTTTTCATTTTTCATGATTTTTAAAAGAATGCCCGTATTTAGGGCATTTTGGCTCCTGAACGCGGACACTGTTCTAGAGGGCCTCACAGGTACACCGTAGATGATAAAAAATCGTTCAAGGTGGTGGTAGGTGTGTCTTGGTCCGAAGATTTTATAATCCTCACCGATTTTCAATAATATCATCAAAAGTACGGATTTCACAGGACTTTTTCGCCAAAAATCGTCCGGATTTAGGATCCATGACTGTACTCAATATTCTCACAAGATTTGAAACGACATCTAGTGGCGAATGCTGGCAACATCGACTTATTTAGCTTCCCGTCCTTCTATTTCGAAATTTGCGCATTCTTATTTTATTGTACTTATCTATACGCGTGCGGAATATTTGCAGGACTACTGCGGTAGTACATATGTACAATAAATCAATATTTTTTAAGAAAATTCAGAACATTTCTTTATCTTCGCAACTCCTATGAATTTTCATATCGTGATTGTAACTTTTACAACACCAGTTATGAAATCACACATGTTATTAAAATTAATAACAACGATGTTATGAATTTCAATAACATATTTAACACTGCAGTGTTGTCTCTCCTTAAAGGAAACTGCACACGCATGATTTGAGGTAAACTGTACCTTACTGTCATAACTTACTTACAGAGCCATTCGAGTTAAGGACACAAACGACAATCGCTTCAATTACAAAAGGTAGGTTTCTCTATGATACATCCAAAACTTTGTAAAAACAAGTCTTGTGTACCTCTTCAACTGTTTTCCATTTAATTCCATTTGTAAATGGTTTACAATGTAGCATTTCAAAAATTAGCGCCAAATGCTCTGGAAACTGAGGTGTGAGACAGTCTTGCACCATTTGATGCGAGGTAAAAAACCTCACACCAAAAGCTGCGAGATCCTCTGTGCCTCGCACAAATGAGTGTGAGATTAGTTTGGTCTCGCGCCAATGATTCCCAGACGCTAACATTGTTATTAAGTTGGCGTGTAAAGAACCTAAAACATTTGGCATTCAAAGAACACAAAATACTGCCGTCCCTTGTAGAATACCAATCAATGACGTTCTTTTCCAATGAAAAAATATGTAACACTTGTACGAGTCAAGGCTAAGTTTCAATACTGTATTGAAAATTAAAATAAATTAAGATAGCATTTATCAAAAAGAAAAGCAGAGTGATAATATTGCAACATAATTGTTCAATAGTACTGCCCACACCATATGGCTGATAATACGGGGGAGGCCTATCACTCAAATGACAATTAAACAATTACCTATTACTTTATCAAATAACCGATACAACAGCACCGCAGGGGCTGATGAGATGATTTGTATTACTCACAATAATAGTGTGATAAGGCCACTTGGTAACTTTGCTGTTCTTCTCAGAACCTAATACAAAAGCATTGGTTCCATCATTTGCTAGCAGTCTAGGCTGGCATAGCCTTTGAGCGGCTATAACCTAAATCCATACAGTCCATAGACTGTGTTTTGATGCAGTAAATTAGGCTCAGGCTCATGTGTGATTGCCAAATATATGGTACTGCAGTTTAAAACCTCTTTACCATGCAGGGAGGCATACTTTGCAGACTATAGTATCATACGGTTCCCAACCTCGGGGTCACGACCCCAATTGGGGTCGCGAGAAGAAATTTTGGGGTCGCGGAGAGGGGCCGGGGGTCGCGTGGGGTCGCGGACAGGCTCCCACTGGACCTCACCGAAGGGGTCTTGCTGTGCTAAAATATGGAAAAACCACCGGTTGTTTTGCGCTTCCGAGCCAGTTTGAGTTGAGGTAGGCGCACAGCCGGTGGTTTTTCCATGTTTCCACAGGAAGGGGTCCAGCAGCAGCCAGGCCGCGACCCCAGGTATACCTAGTTGACCCTTTACCCGCAGGAGCCCGTGGGGAGCACGGTAGACGGGAAACCCAGAGGGGTGTGAGTGAGTATGCAGCGAAACGCATTCTCTCGTACTATTCTACATTCTGCTTTACTATTATTATTAAATACGTATTTCTCTAAGAAATGCGAACATCTGCACTCTAAATGGGGCGGGATAATTTTTGTACCTAGGTACGATGTGTCTTTGCTCACACCTTCATCAGAAACAAATTTGTATTTGATTTATAGATGTGCACAAAGACACATCTCGTCTGTGCAAAAGTTGTCCCTGGCCATTTAATGTGTGTAAGTTAACGTCAAATTAAAAACCTATCAAAGGAACAGCATTCAATTCTACCT